ATGGGAGGAGGCACAAGCACCCCCTCATCTTTGGGACCAAATGTCCCCAGACCTAGCCACAAGCTAGGCCTCTCTGGTCTGCCATCCCCGCCCCAAGGGGGCTAATGGGAATGACAGGCTTGTGAGCTGCAAGCTCTGGCTCAGGCACCTACCCTACCCTAGAAGGGCTGGGCATGGTGTCGATATATGGTCTGTATACCATGTACTTGTAGAAATAAAGATTATTTATTATATTATTATTATTAGGACCCCTGTATTTACAGTTTCATACAGCAAATAACAGTTAGCACTTGAGTTGTACTCACTAGAGCGCAGGCGAGAGAGATATATCATAATCTACACCTGGAAGATTCTGGAGGGACTGGTCCCTAATATGCACACAGCAATCACTCCATACGAAAGCAAAAGACTTGGCAGGCGATGCAACATACTCCCAGTGAAAAGTAGGGGCGTCACTGGTGCACTAAGAGAAAACACAATAAGTGTCCGGGGCCCAAGACTGTTCAACAGCCTCCCACCAGCAATAAGGGGCATTACGGGAAGACCCCTGGTTGTCTTCAAGAGGGAGCTGGACAGGTACCTAAAGACGGTGCCGGATCAGCCAGGCTGTGGTTTGTGCGTTGGATTACGTGCGGCCAGCAGTAACAGCCTCGTTGATCATGCCCTGATCCACCGGGAGGCCTGGTCGTGGACCGGGCCGCGGGGACGTTGATCCCCGGAATGCCCTCCAGGTAGACTCCAGGTATCGTCATAAACTAATTAAATCAGTTAGGTCAAAATTAAAATATATAAGTATTAAATTAAAAAAAGAATAAGCTGAATATATCATTTGTACAATTATTAACTTTACAAGTAGTAATCTCTTTTCGCCCAAGGTTGAAATTAAATCCCTGAAAAATAAAGTTACCCCACCGACATTTATTTTCTGTAATCTATTGAAGTAACTCGTTCGTCGTTTTCTATAATATTCATTGTGGATAAACTATACTATAATTGTCAATTTGTTGAGAAATCTAGCAAACAAAACACAAATGAAATGAAACCATGATTAATTAATAATTAATTCTGAACATCAAAATGGTATACAATACCGACAGGTTGGTAGGTAAGACACATAGGCAACAGTTAGGCAACTTTATTCCGAAACGTTTCGCCTACACAGTAGGCTTCTTCAGTCGAATACAGAAAGTAGGCAGGAACAGTAGAGATGTGAAGACGATGTAATCAGTCCATCACCTTTAAAGTCGTAGAATTTTGAGGTTGTCAGTCCCTCGGCCTGGAGAAGTTCAGTTCCATAGTCAGGAACTATCTGAAGATCAAGCGACAGTGCGGGGACTTAAATACTGTCGGAAGGAGAGGTGCAGAGTAGTATTAGTAGTAGTGAAATGTAGCCACTGAGAGGTCAGGTCCCTCTCAGATCCAACAGTTCTCACTTGAAAGGGTTGTCTAAGGCGTTTTCTGTACAAAGAGGCCATGTGTTGCAGTGTCTGACAAGATGAACATCAAAATGGTATACAATACCGACAGGTTGGTAGGTAAGACACATAGGCAACAGTTAGGCAACTTTATTCCGAAACGTTTCGCCTACACAGTAGGCTTCTTCAGTCGAATACATCTCTACTGTTCCTGCCTACTTTCTGTATTCGACTGAAGAAGCCTACTGTGTAGGCGAAACGTTTCGGAATAAAGTTGCCTAACTGTTGCCTAGGTGTCTTACCTACCAATGAATTCTGAGCTGTTGTTTTACGCTTCTATATTAATTTCATGTTTTGCTAAGTGCACTTTTATCTTATTATGTAAAATTTTCTTTGTTAATTGGTTTTTGTAATGAACAGTTATATTCTATTATTATTATTATTAAGCCTAAGGGATAAGATCGTTTTTTTTTGGGGGGGGGGGAATAGGGGAGTGTTAAAGAAGCCTAACTTGCCGAACCCAACTAAACGCAACCTCATCTAACCCAAATCAGAAATTAAATACTAGGGTAAAGTAGATTTAGTTTTTTTTTTTTTTTTTGGGGGGGGGGGAGGTTATATAAAACTTATAAACATAAAATATATCTATCGCTATTACACAGGCTGTCTAATACCAGAGAAGTTACCTAATAAAAGGCAGAAATCCCTACACTATCACCCAGATGACTTTATTTAGAGTATTACCATAGATGGTTAATTTTAGAAAATAACCCAAGAAAGCAAGTATGGCTTATTTCCTGTGTGGTGTTCCATGATTCAATTCTCCAGTATGCGGTCCACAAGCCAGCTAGCACCCAGGTACTTACTCCTAGGTGAAACGGGAGGGGAAACTCGTGTAAGGAAACATGTTCAACGTTTCCACTCGTCCGAGGTTCGAACCCCAGTCGTTCACTTCAGGCAACGGCGGCAGGTGTTAGAAGACTTGCCTTTACGTCTTGTTGCCCCCCAGGATTCGACCCGGACTACTTTTGGTTGGTAAACGTTACCACTGAGCTAGGTATGTCCCTGAAGCTATAACAGTTCGTAATACAGATTGCCATTATTATCCTATCGATAGTTTGTGATGGTCAGGTTTTAAAAAAAGATCTTCATCCTAGATTATCCCATTGTGGAGATATATTGTTATTATCAGTCTGTGTTGAGTGTCACACTGCGGTCGTTTCACCACATTATTTGTGGTATTGTTGCGTGTTAGTGTAGCAGGTTGATGGAGGTAGAGGGCAGCACTATGCACGACTTGTACAGGCCGCCACGCTCGACTGCGTTCTGTGCCTTTAACTTCTCGTGGTACTGAGACACCGCAGTGAGCTCTAGCTCAAGCACTCCTGCAAGAATATTGGTGTAAAACAAAAAATGCGAGAATGGAGGAACATTGCAGCAGGCCTACCGACCCATACATGGCAGGTCCTTCTCTAGGTTTTACATTACCTGTCGTACTACTAGCTAGTTGCATTGTTGTCCAAGTCATCGTCAATCTTCCGTGTATGATTCCTATCTCATGTCCAATGAAACGAAACTCTTCAATGCATATTTTTCTAACTGTCAGAATAACTTTCACATATCATCAGAAATCGGACCAAGGTTTACCGAACTTAATAATTTTAAAAACTGAAGACAAGACATAACATCCGTATTCCCTTATGGCTATTGTAAAAACTGTGTTATGTATGCAAGCCTAAATAAACATCTAAGTTCTACGCACACGTGCGCGCGCGCACACACAGTGAAGAGGCGGGTCCAGGAGCTTTGAATCGACCCCTGCAACCACAGCTAGGTGAGTACACATACACACACGCACACACCTTGTAATGAAAGAAATTCAGCAGTATTCCTGTCACACAAGTTTAATACAAGGAAAACGTCAAGTTTAAGAGATGTATATTGGAAATAGTGAGAGGAGGCAATATGTTGTGGAGGAACTTCAGGCAATATATATCTGCGTAGCGAACATCAGGCGCAGCCTCACTTTACCAACAACAACAACAACACACATCAACACTTTTATTGCCTATAAATTGTAGTTGAGGACAACTTAGCCGGGGCCACGGCAATGTTGCTACAGTATAGAACAATACTTAAAGAACCCATTTATATATATATATATATATATATATATATATTATATATATATATATATATATATATATATATATATATATATAATATATATATATATATATATATATATATATAACAACCACTCTGAAAGAATAGCGAAATTCCTTGATAATGTGAAAAGTCACGAAAGCACTTGGAATTTCGCTATTTTTTCACAGTGGTTGTTTTGCATATTCTGATATCACCTGTTTACTGTGATCTTATTGCATATATGTATATCTTACCGAAATATGTTTAGGGGAGTACCACCTACATTGTCAATTAGAGACCCTAATTCTCAGAAGATAATAAACGTACTTTAAATAAAAACTAGAGATTTCTCCCGGAGCTCTTTTAGTATATTGTTATTAATGACTGAGGATCATCGCATAGTTTGTGTTTTACGTTTTATATCTAAGGAATTATAAAAAAAATGTAACGGTGACAATGATGAACAGAAAATTTTGAAATTTCTTAATTAGTGTCGCGTTTGTTAAATAAATTTGTCATGTCGTATGTCTGAATCATTTTGCAATTATTTATAGGTAATCATGTCCACCTTAATATCCGTCACTGAAAAAGTTTTTTGATGTTATTGACGCAAGACTTGTGGTAGAAGAATAACAAAATATTATAAGTGAGTTTGGTAGCCACAATCGTCAAACAAGCCAAAGTTTCTTGAATGTTTTTTTGTAAGCAACAGTAGCCAGTGGCACGAACCAACCCACGTATATGGGAGGACATGGTATAAAATACTGACACGATGGAAACAGGTATAGATGTAGTGTAATGATCCTTATTGACAATATTAGTGATTTTGAAACTCGCCAGTTTCGCCCATTGCATGGGCGAAACTGGTGAGTTAAGGGTTTTATTACGCTGCACTAGTCTTCTAAGCCATATAGGGTTGGGGATGAGTGAACAAACTCCCGAGTACCGTCATTGAAGCTAAGACGTTGTGTAGTTTTAAAAATAGGTTGGATAAATGCGTGAGTGGGTGTGAGTTGGACCTGACTAGCTTGTGCTACTAGGTCAGATGCCGTGCTCCTCCCTTAAGTGACGTGACTGACCTGACTAGGTCAAGGGCTTGGCTTAAGCCGGTGGGAGAATTGGACCTGCCTCGCATAGGCCAGTAAGCCTGTTGCAGTGTTTTTTATGTTCTTATATGGAGAAAATTAACAACAGTGACTAGCAAGGGACTAGGTATGCGATTTGTAGATGGAGGATCGATCCTCCATGCCAAGCGGGCGCTGTATAGCCCTTGTGGTTTAGCGCTCCTTTTTATTATAATTGACCCACACAGGTTAAAAACACTTCAGATATAAAATTAATCCAATAGCCCACACTGGCATAATAAATCAGGAGTATTATATACTTCGAAGAGTCTGGTATATATCTGGAGATATTATAACCCTGTCCTGACTGCAGCGTTCGCTGAGCTCCAGACGGACATGACGGACCTGACGGCGGACTTGGAGTCTTCAGGGATCCCAACCCTGGACCACCGCAGCTACGTCATGAAGGTGTTCTTCCCCGGCGTCACAGACCATCCCATCCTCAGTGACCCAAAGGTAAGTACTACTTCCCCAATCTTCATCGACTCCTAGGTAAGAAATAGCTCAACCATCCTCAACGACCCCTGGGTAAGGAAGAGCTCTATAATCCTCAACGACCCCAATATAAGAAGCTGAGCGACCCCAAGGTAAGCCTAACACCCCATTCTTGACGACCCTCGCATGGCTAAAGTTAATATTCACTAACACGCCCTAAACTATTAAGTTCCCGCTGGAAAATGTCATGGTAGCGAGTACATGTACTACAACGTTGAGACTGCCACACTCTGCTTTATATTCTTCGTACTCAAGTTTGTTGAGGTTTTATATCTTTTTAATAAGCAAAGAGGAGAATTCCAATAGGCCTACTGGCCAATACTAGGCTAGTAGGCCTAGTATTGGCCAATACTAAATAACCTATGAAAATTATACGTATTACACTTTCTTATATATTTTTCTCTGCACTTCAGCTGCGCATGAACGGGTGTCGGCCTGCCATGGACAGCGCCATGATCCAGTTCGAGCAGCTCATCACTAATAGATATTTCCTGCTGGCGTTCATAGAGTCGCTGGAGGCGCAGAAAACTTTCAACATCAGAGACAAGTAAGTTGTACCTGGGGGCCTCTGGAAGGGGGGGGGTCATTGAACCAGCGGCTGTCCTCAACTTGTTCACCTCCTGTCATGGTTTACTAGCCATGGTTTGATGTCTTACAGCCAAGGCTAATGTCTAACAGTCTTCTGAGTCACCGTGGAAAGCTCTCTCTCTCTCTCTCTCTCTCTCTCTCTCTCTCTCTCTCTCTCTCTCTCTCTCTCTCTCCCAGTTATACGTTCTCCAAGACTTATTTTCAGTAAATTTGCGTTAAGTCTCCCAGTTCTGTTGTTAAGCATTTTACTCTTGAATGCTTGGGTGAGAATTTTTCTTCAGTGCCTGGCACTCGGAGGTGTCTCAGTGCCTGGTACTCGGTGTCTCAGTGCCTGGTACTCGGAGGTGTCTCAGTGCCTGGTACTCGGGGGTGTCTCAGTGCCTGGCACTCGGAGGTGTCTCAGTGCCTGGCACTCGGAGGTGTCTCAGTGCCTGGCACTCGGAGGTGTCTCAGTGCCTGGCACTCGGAGGTGTCTCAGTGCCTGGCACTCGGAGGTGTCTCAGTGCCTGGCACTCGGGGGTGTCTCAGTGCCTGGTACTCGGGGGTGTCTCAGTGCCTGGCACTCGGGGGTGTCTCAGTGCCTGGTACTCGGAGGTGTCTCAGTGCCTGGTACTCGGAGGTGTCTCAGTGCCTGGCACTCGGTGTCTCAGTGCCTGGCACTCGGTGTCTCAGTGCCTGGCACTCGGGGGTGTCTCAGTGCCTGGTACTCGGAAGTGTCTCAGTGCCTGGCACTCGGGGGTGTCTCAGTGCCTGGTACTCGGAGGTGTCTCAGTGCCTGGTACTCGGAGGTGTCTCAGTGCCTGGTACTCGGAGGTGTTTCAGTGCCTGGTACTCGGAGGTGTCTCAGTGCCTGGTACTTGGAGGTGTCTCAGTGCCTGGTACTCGGAGGTGTCTCAGTGCCTGGTACTCGGTGTCTCAGTGTCCGGTATTCAGAGGTGTATCAGTGCCTGGTATTCAGAGGTGTCTCAGTGCCTGGTACTCGGAGGTGTCTCAGTGCCTGGTACTCGGAGGTGTCTCAGTGCCTGGTACTCGGAGGTGTCTCAGTGCCTGGTACTCGGAGGTGTCTCAGTGCCTGGTACTCGGAGGTGTCTCAGTGCCTGGTACTCCGAGATATCTGAGTACTACTATTAAATCCTTACCTGCCAACAGTATCTCTTACACAGACGTACAAAATAAGTCGCTTCTCCCTCACAGAGTGAATGTGGCATCACTGCTGGTGGTGTCGATGGTAGGACGTATGGAATACCTGACGGAGATCCTGAGACTGCTGTTGCTGCGTCTCATAGACAAGAGTGTAGCTACCAAGCATCCTCAACTCATGCTTAGGAGGACGGAGAGCGTTGTCGAGAAGATGCTGACCAACTGGATGACGCTGTGCATGTACACCTACCTCAAGGTTGTTAATTATTAATTACTATTTTTTTTTAAACTCAATGGTCGTCTTCTTCCAAGGTAGAGTGACCCAAAGAAGAAAGTACACTCACCATTATTCATTCAATCGTCGTCTTTCCAGAAGTGTCCTGACATGACAATCAGTTTACCCCCTCCCCGTATAACAACATCTCCATCCCTCCTTTAGAGTGCAAACACTGCCCTTACCACCTCCAGGACTCAAGTCTGGCTAACCTGTTCCCCTGAATCCGTTCATAAACGTTACCTTGTTCATATTAACTCATATCTAACACGCTCTCACCAGCCTGGAGAATGGGTGGTAATTAGGTTCGATCCAAGGAAGAGAAAAAGGTACGTTCAATTCATTGGATCAAGACCTCCACACTAATATCAAGTACTTCTTCGCTTCGTTGAGGTCAGGTTGGCCATGTTGTCTGGGACCACTGGACGTTCCTCTGGGACCATTGAACGTCCCTCTGGGACCATTGAACGTCCCTCTGGGACCACTGGACATAGCCCTGAACGCCACCTGGAACGATTAACAGTCGCTCGGCTTTTGTTAATTACTTGTTAATTAGTTGTTAATTACTTGTTAATGACCTTTACCTCCGCTACATAAATTTAATTGACGTCACTATTCTCTCTCTCTCTCTCTCTCTCTCTCTCTCTCTCTCTCTCTCTCTCTCTCTCTCTCTCTCTCCAAAATCCTGTTCAATAACTTTTAAATCACTCTAAATATAATCTTCCTAAATATTTTTTTATAAAACTGATCATTATTTTCATTCAATGTTGTTTACATGATTTTTTCGTGGGACGTTTACGGCTCATGGAAATTTAAGCGAAATTCCTTTCATAACACTACTTATAATAATTGATAAATTTTCTGAACAAATTTTGATATACTGTATCTAAGACTGATATATATATATATATATATATATATATATATATATATATATATATATATATATATTATATATATATATATATTATATATATATTATATATTGCTATTATCATGCATTTTTAATATATATTAAATTCAGTCAGGGCAGAAGAGCAAAAATATTTTACATTGTGAAATGTAAAATTAATGATGGTAATCCTCGTGACATCTGTCTGGTGGAGGTTGCACTCTGCAAGTGCACGTGGAGGTTGCACTCTGCAAGTGCACGTGGAGGTTGCACTCTGCAAGTGCACGTGGAGGTTGCACTCTGCAAGTGCACGTGGAGGTTGCATCTGCAAGTGCACGTGGAGGTTGCACTCTGCAAGTGCACGTGGAGGTTGCACTCTGCAAGTGCACGTGGAGGTTGCACTCTGCAAGTGCACGTGGAGGTTGCACTCTGCAAGTGCACGTGGAGGTTGCACTCTGCATTTTGCACGTGAAGGTTGCACTCTGCAAGTGCACGTGAGGTTCCACTCTGCAAGTGCACGTGGAGATTGCACTCTGCAAGTGCACGTGGAGATTGCACTCTGCAAGGCACGTGGAGGTGCACTCTGCAAGTGCCGTGGAGGCTGCACTCTGAAGTGCACGTGGAGGCTGCACTCTGCAAGTTCACGTGGTTGCACTCTGCAAGTCACGTGGAGGTTGCACTCTGCAAGTGCACGTGGAGGTTGCACTCTGCAAGTGCACGTGGAGGTTGCACTCTGCAAGTGCACGTGGAGGTTGCAGTCTGCAAGTGCACGTGGAGGTTGCACTCTGCAAGTGCACGTGGAGGTTGCACTCTGCAAGTGCACGTGGAGGTTGCACTCTGCAAGTGCACGTGGAGGTTGCACTCTGCAAGTGCACGTGGAGGTTGCACTCTGCAAGTGCACGTGGAGGTTGCACTCTGCAAGTGCACGGGAGGTTGCACTCTGCAGTGCACGTGGAGGTTGCACTCTGCAAGTGCACGTGGAGGTTGCACTCTGCAAGTGCACGTGGAGGTTGCACTCTGCAAGTGCACGTGGAGGTTGCACTCTGCAAGTGCACGTGGAGGTTGCACTCTGCATGTGCACGTGGAGGTTGCACTCTGCAAGTGCACGTGGAGGTTGCACTCTGCAAGTGCACGTGGAAGTTGCACTCTGCAAGTGCACGTGGAAGTTGCACTCTGCAAGTGCACGTGGAGGTTGCACTCTGCAAGTGCACGTGGAGGTTGCACTCTGCAAGTGCACGTGGAGGTTGCACTCTGCAAGTGCACGTGGAGGTTGCACTTGCAAGTGCACGTGGAGGTTGCACTCTGCAAGTGCACGTGAAGGTTGCACTCTGCAAGTGCACGTGGAGGTTGCACTCTGCATGTGCACGTGGAGGTTGCACTCTGCATGTGCACGTGGAGGTTGCACTCTGTATATGCACGTGGAGGTTGCACTCTGCAAGTGCACGTGGAGGTTGCACTCTGCAAGTGCAACGTGGAGGTTGCACTCTGCAAGTGTACGTGGAGTTGCACTCTGCAAGTGCACGTGGGGTTGCACTCTGCAAGTGCACGTGAAGGTTGCACTCTGCAAGTGCACGTGGAGGTTTGCACTCTGCATGTGCAGTGGAGGTTGCACTCTGCAAGTGCACGTGGACGTTGCACTCTGCAAGTGCACGTGGAGGTTGCACTCGCAAGTGCACGTGGAGTTGCACTCTGCAAGTGCACGTGGAGGTTTCACTCTGCAAGTGCACGTGGAGTTTTGCACTCTGCAAGTGCACGTGGAGGTTGCACTCTGCATGTGCACGTGGATGGTTGCACTCTGCAAGTGCACGTGGAGGTTGCACCTGCAAGTGCACGTGGAGGTTGCACCCTGCAAGTGCACGTGGAGGTTGCACCCTGCAAGTGCACGTGGAGGTTGCACCTGCATGTGCACGTGGAGGTTGCACTCTGCAAGTGCACGTGGAGGTTGCACTCTGCAAGTGCACGTGGAGGTTGCACTCTGCAAGTGCACGTGGAGGTTGCACTCTGCAAGTGCGCGTGGAGGTTGCACTCTGTAAGTGCACGTGAAGGTTGCACTCTGCAAGTTCACGTGGAGGTTGCACTCTGCAAGTGCACGTGGAGGATGCACCCTGCAAGTGCACGTGGAGGTTGCACTCTGCAAGTGCACGTGGAGGTTGCACTCTGCAAGTGCACGTGGAGGTTGCACTCTGCAAGTGCACGTGGAGGTTGCACTCTGCAAGTGCACGTGGAGGTTGCACTCTGCATGTGCACGTGGAGGTTGCACTCTGCAAGTGCACGTGGAGGTTGCACTCTGCAAGTGCACGTGGAGGTTGCACTCTGCAAGTGCACGTGGAGGTTGCACTCTGCAAGTGCACGTGGAGGTTGCACTCTGCAAGTGCACGTGGAGGTTGCACTCTGCAAGTGCACGTGGAGGTTGCACTCTGCAAGTGCACGTGGAGGTTTTATGTTGCTCCGAGTTGATATTTGTTAATGCCAGATGTATTGCACGAGAGATGTGGAAGGTATTGATGGCAGGTATCCTGCAGGTAACACAGTGATAACGAAGAAAAGGGCACAATACCGTGACTGGAACAATACACAAATAAACCGCACATAGGTTAGTGGTACAAGTTGGTCCGTAACGTCGGCCTAAGTTTCGTTCTCCAGTGTGTGGGTTGTGTGTATATTGATGACAGGTTTTCCATTACACATTGATGACAGATGCACTATACATTGATGACAGGTACAGTACACATTGATGACAGGTGCACTACACATTGATGACAGGTACAGTACACATTGATGACAGATGCACTACACATTGATGACAGGTGCACTACACATTGATGACAGGTACAGTACACATTGATGACAGGTGCACTACACATTGATGACAGGTACAGTACACATTGATGACAGATGCACTACACATTGATGACAGGTGCACTACACATTGATGACAGGTGCACTACACATTGATGACAGGTGCACTACACATTGATGACAGGTGCACTACACATTGATGACAGGTACAGTACACATTGATGGCAGGTGCACTACACATGACAGGTGCACTACACATTGATGGCAGGTGCACTACACATGACAGGTGCACTACACATTGATGGCAGGTGCACTACACATGACAGGTGCACTACACATTGATGACAGATGCACTACACATGACAGATGCACTACACATGACAGGTGCACTACACATTGATGACAGGTGCACTACACATTGATGACAGGTGTTCTGCAGGGGAAAACAAATTATAAATGTCTTAGCCACTCTTTAGACTCAGGGAAAAATATGAAATCCTTTGAAAGAATCGAAGGAAGAGAAAAAAGTGAATGAATCTAAATATATTTATAATGATAAACCCGTGTGTGGAATCACAGAGGTCCGAGTCACTGTTTTATTTTCTTTTATTTTATTTTTGCGACCGAAACTCGGCCCATTCCACCGGTTTTTTTTTTCTGGGTTTAAAAGCTAAATTTACTGGGATTTAATAGTGATATTGATAAATCCTTCCCTACAGAAATAAATCTCCTGCGAGGATTTAGATGTAATACTGAGACAACACAGTTTTACAGATATTTAGTAGTAATTCTTTAAAATAACTGTATAAATAATCAGTGCAGCACACTGGTAAATGTTGGGAATGCTTTCGAAAGAATGATGATATCAGTTAATCATGTGAGACTGACGAGAATCAGATCACAATAATGCCACATTAGTTGCACTTGTCCTTTTTACCTAAGACTCAGATCATCACAAAAGACTCAGTGTGTATGAAAACTAAACTGGTGTAGCCGAGGGAACGGGAGAGAGTGATCTACTAGTCCAAAGACAATAAATGACTTCTCCTTTGCCCTCTACAGGAGCAGGCAGGTCCTTCACTGTTCCTGCTATACAAGGCCATCAAGCACCAGGTGGAGAAGGGTCCTGTGGATGCTATCACCCACGACGCCCGCTACTCCCTCTCAGAGGAGCGGCTCCTAAGAGAACAGATCACCCACTCCCACGTTGTAAGTAAGCGTAATGTTCTCTCAGGCCTGCTTGTATTATGTGAATGTAGATATATTCGTGTTTCACGTAAAAAAAGAGTGCATCTGTTGCTCCCTGTGTTTCAAGTGAGATTTATGTATTTATTGATATAAATGAGGTGAGACTCACTCGGATATTCTCTCTCTCTGAATGTCGAAGGTTTTGTGTACGTGTGTGTGCTGTACTCTGCTCCTGATTATCTTCTCCATTAATTTGCATGATATGCATGTGAGAGAAATTGGTCTGTATTTCGGTGCTTCCCGTCTCATTTCTTTAACAGGGGTTAAATTTACAGTCTTCAAGATCTTTGGTAGCACTCTGGTATCCATTGACTTATTAATAGATCTTAGGTAGTTTTTGACAGTGCTTCTGCTCCCTCATGCAGGATCCATGGTGACTGTCAGTCTCATTGTTTTTATTGTATCCAGTTCCACCGAGAGTTTTTTTTTTTTACCTCCTGGTGTGTGTATGGTGCCCAGTACCTGTCGATGTACTCTTTATCCTAATCATTCTGGTACTGATCCTGTTTTTACTGAGTTATCTTTAAATCGCTTGTTCAGTAACATCTCAGACTTCCCTGTCATCCTTCGTGAGATCTCCTTCAGTCGAATTACCGAGTCTTTCACTATCGTGGCTGTGAAGCTGTTGTGGTTCACACTTGACCTATGCTGTTATGTCATTCTCAAATCGTCACTCAGCCTCTCTCTGCATTCTTGCATATTCGTTTCTGGCCGGTATGCTCACCTCTTGGGCCACTTTTGTCCTTCCCTGTATACAATTCTATGATCTAATGCTTCGCTTTCCTCTCTACATCTCTGGTTGAACCAGGGGCTCCCTTTGGCCTTATTATTCCTTCTGGGTATGAGGGTTCTCTGCTTCCCAGAGCACTTTCCAGCTAGGTACTCCATCATCTCATTCGTTGACTATTCTTACAGTTTCCTTTCTCATTGCACTGCATTCAGGGAGTTTCCTCATTCTTTCGAACATCCTAAAATCTGGCTTGTCACTCCCTCCACCTGCACACACGTCTTATTCATCAATATACCCAAGTGTTGCACGTGTCTTATTCAGTTAGTTTTGTATTCCATTAATACATAATTGGTGTTAGATGTGCTGATTAAAGCAGCAGTAGCTTGTACACTGATCTTCACGTTTACTTCAGCAAGGTACTCCAAGTTCAGCACTGTATGGTCGCCAGTGTCCAGGTGGCTCGTATTTTGTCTCACTTGTGTCATTCGTACTTGTGGTTAATACTGTGTCCAGTCTTGTTAGCTAATTATTCACTCACTCGCGTATCTCATCTATTATAATAGTTTGCCTTTTATTTTTCCGGTGTTTCTCAGGTTCTGCATCAGTTTCTCATGGCAGTGTCAAAAGCCTTTTTTGAAATATAAATAAATGCAAGCTCTCCATGTATTTTTTTCGTATGATTGATGGAATTATCGCAGACACTTAAAAAATGTAGTCACAGTACAGTGGCTGGAACAATTCAAGAAAAACCTGCACTTAGGAGAGAAACCTTACGACGTTTCGCTCCCTTCCTGGACCATTGTCAAGTCAAAAAGCGGGAAGAAAAGTGTAACCTGACAATAGTCCAGGAGGGACCGAAATGTTGTCATTAGGTTCCTCTCTCAAGTTTATTCACGAGAGATATACTCTGGTATACACTAGAAAACTACTATCCTGCCCAATGGTAGGTTCATTCTGCCCAATAATAGGTGCATCCTGCCCAGTGATTGTTGTACTCACCCAATTATATCTGCAGGGGTTGATTCACAGCTCATGGAGGGTATCCCCACTACAATTCCCCCTATAATCCCTAATTATAATGTCTCCTTTAAATTATATTCCCCCCACCTCATCAGCATCAATGGGCCCCCTTCCCTTCAAGGAGTAAAGGGACTTTAAAGGACTGTCGTGATGAGTAAGGGGAGAGCAAGTGGGAAATGTGTGTGTGTGTGTGTGTGTGTGCGAGAGAGAGAGAGTGAGAGAGAGAGAGAGAGAGAGAGAGAGAGAGAGAGAGAGAGAGTTAGATTAACTCAATTAAGTCTTATGGAAAGTTTCCTGCTGAGTATTGATAAAGGAACTGGAGTCCTGCGAATTGCTTCAGCAACGCTACCTCCGCGCTACCGGCGTTGAAACTGCGTTACCCCTGCACTACCGGCGTTGAAACTGCGTTACCCCTGCACTACCGGCGTTGAAACTGCGTTACCCCTGCGCTACCGGCGTTGAAACTGCGTTACCCCTGCGCTACCGGCGTTGAAACTGCGTTACCCCTGCGCTACCGGCGTTGAAACTGCGTTACCCCTGCGCTACAGGTGTTGAAACTGCGTTACCCCTGCACTACCGGCGTTGAAACTGCGTTACCCCTGCACTACCGGCGTTGAAACTGCGTTACCCCTGCGCTACCGGCGTTGAAACTGCTTTACCCCTGCGCTACAGGTGTTGAAACTGCGTTACCCCTGCACTACCGGCGTTGAAACTGCGTTACCCCTGCACTACCGGCGTTGAAACTGCGTTACCCCTGCACTACCGGCGTTGAAACTGCTTTACCCCTGCGCTACCGGCGTTGAAACTGCTTTATCCCTGCCGCTACAGGCGTTGAAACTGCGTTACCCCTGCCTACCGGCGTTGAAACTGCGTTACCCCTGCGCTACCGGCGTTGAAACTGCGTTACCCCTGCGCTACCGGCGTTGAAACTGCTTTACCCCTGCGCTACAGGCGTTGAAACTGCGTTACCCCTGCGCTACCTGCGTTGAAACTGCGTTACCCCTGCGCTACCGGCGTTGAAACTGCGTTACCCCTGCGCTACCGGCGTTGAAACTGCGTTACCCCTGCGCTACCTGCGTTGAAACTGCGTTACCCCTGCGCTACCGGCGTTGAAACTGCGTTACCCCTGCACTACCGGCGTTGAAACTGCTTTACCGGCGTTGAAACTGCGTTACCCCCTGCGCTAACGGCATTGAAACTGCGCTACCCCTGCGCTACCGGCGTTGAAACTGCGTTACCACCAAGCTACCTGCACTGAAGCTAACTACACCAAGCTACCGGAGATAAAAATAGGTTACCAAAGTTAACTGCACTACCACGATGCTACTTACCTCAAAAAAAAAAAAAAACCTACCTCGTTACGTTCGCTGACGCTTGCGTCAGAGCTACGCTTCCACGACGCTGCATCTGCTGTAACGTGGTTTAGAGAAAGGTAAAGTTTTGAGATTGGAAATTGACTGATCCAGGAGATCATTCAACACGTCTCGCAAACAGAAAACGCGTGCAAAAACTAGCAAATTAAAACCGAATAACAAACGTAGAGAGAACAAGAACGTTAAAACCCACAAGACCAAAAGAAAAAAAAATGTTGAAGCCCCCCATTAAGATGACATTGTCAAAAAAATAGGCAAAATAAAAAGAAAATATCCACAAGTTGACAGGACACATGGGAAAGGCTGTATTTCTCATGTGTCTCATTTATCAGGCCTCCTCGTAATTATAAAATATAATAAATGTTAAGAGGAGAGTGTGAAGCCTTGGGAAAAATAAGATAAGATTTCGTTTTGGATTTTTAACCCCGGAGGGTTAGCCACCCAGGATAACCCAAGAAAGTCAGTGCGTCATCGAGGACTGTCTAACTTATTTCCATTGGGGTCCTTAATCTTGTCCCCCAGGATGCGACCCACACCAGTCGACTACACCCAGGTACCTATTTGCTGCTAGGTGAACAGGACAACAGGTGTAAGGAAACGTGTCAAATGTTTCCACCCGCCGGGAATCGAACCCGGGCCCTCCGTGTGTGAAGCGGGAGCTTTAGCCACCAGGCCACCGGGAACCCACGTGGATCATGGTCGCGATTCATGTTACACAGACAGGAGCAGGAACCACCTGCAAGCAGGTGGCTCTGGGTGTGGCGGGTGGAACCTCTGAGTCTAGAAAGAATCATCTCATCATGGCGATGCTTGGTGAAAAAGGGCCAAGCACCTAGACCCTGTTGAGCCCTACATAACTTGTTGCTCGTATGTAGGGCCCACCTGTCCCTACCACTACACAAGGGCACATCTACGCTGTTACCGTTTGGAGTCACCAAGACAGAAGCTCAGAAGAAATGGGGAAAATTTCTCTTGGTGCAGGTCATAAGTCACATTATGACCTGCAATAGTAAAGCCTTTGGTCATTTGACCGAGGCCTTCCAGTGGCTTTCCAGTCCATACACACAAAAACTAATAATATGAATAAGGAACTGTGTTTTGGAGACTATAAATCGAGGTGAATTAAATTCTTCTCCCTTGTTCATTAGAGGTTGTGGGACGTTCCTGTCCGCTGTGGGTGGTTTATACATATGCTGCTAACCCTGCTACACCTGCTCGGAGCGTGTCACACCTGTCCCACTCACTTGGGCCTAACAGTTGAAGGCTTAATTAACGCTGAACACCTCTCTCGTGTTAACAAATTAATTTTAGCTGGAGTTAATTGAGCGAAATCTTGGCGTGAAGAAGAGAATTTCATATAATCTGGTACGTGGGATAAAATGCGAATGACAGTTGTAGGTAGGGTGTGAAAGCGTCGGGATTCAGTAAATGACATTAGTTTTTGCGCATGCAAGATTTACCTAAAAGAATAAATTTTGCTGTCACCTGTCGCTTGTCTGGAAAATTTAAATGTGATTTAATGTCTTGAAGGTGCTTTATGTTGGCCTCCCCTGGGCGTTGGTGAACGACAGTCCCTCCTCGGCGGGTCCTTCCTGCTCTTCCTCTTCGTCCTCATTTCCCTCTTCTCTTGTTTCTTCCTTTTGGTGCTTCAGTCGCTGTTTTTCTTAGGGATCCTCTTTATTTAAATCCTTTGTGTGTTTTTTTCCTACCCTGGGCACCGCCTTTGAATACGATTCTGCATAATTCTCCTCCCGATTAGGAGTTCTTCATTAGTAGCTACCTTCCTTGACCAAGTCTCCTCCATCAGTCTGGAAAAAAAAAAATAGTGAAGTCGATACATAGCTGTTGTGTGGTTTTTCTCTTGGAATTAATTATACTTTCTTCTGAAATTCCTAGATTGCTTCCCATGGCTGGATCATCTGTGCCTTTGTCAGATTATTCTGTAACATTAACCTCCAGTTAAATATCTGATTTGCCCATTGGAGGAGCCTCCTTCGCTGCCTTCCCCAGGTTAGTACCCCTCTGGTGAGATCCCTGGATCACTTCCCACTAAGAGTGTCCGATGATACCTGCCTTAGCATGGGCCTTTCCGAGTCTCCAAGTCCGTTGCTGGAATCGGAGCAAGCGACCGTTGCCGTGTTCCTCCCTTAAGTCAATGTGACCTGACCTGACTGGGTTGGGTGCATTGGCTTAAGCCGGTAGGAGACTTGGACCTGCCTCGCATGGGCCAGTAGGCCTTCTGCAGTGTTCCTTCGTTCTTATGTTCTTATGTTCTTATGACCCCTAACCGTCTTATTCTCAACTACGCCCGTGGCGAAAGAAATGTTGTGTTTTAAAGATGTGTCTGTTGATGATAGCCACGTGTGCATGTTATTAGCAAGCTTTTACCTAAACCCGGGGAGAAAGAAATCTTATGTCCTAAATATCCATCTGGGGTGACTGCTGATGGACAAGGACACTTGCGTACAGTTTAGCACATTTATTAAAGGAAACGTTTCGCCAAGCCTGGCTTTATCAGTCCTCAAACTGTACACAGGTTTCCTTTACCACAGTTTTGGTAACACCTCCATTTACAACCACGGGTCTTTGTTGCTTCACGTCACATGAAACAAGTCTTGATTTCTTCGTTTCTATGTGAATGCAGTTATAGAAATTAGCGGTTGTGTTGTTTTTTACCGAATAATGTTGTTCTTAGGATTTTTCTAGTATTTTCCTATATTTTTTTCCTGGTGCTGGTGTGTCGCGCTTGTCGTTCTGGCAGGTTCTTCAGGCAGCGACTTTCACAGTGGTGTTGGAGCTGAAGCTTTCTTTGGCAGTGATTTTTTTTCCTTTTTTTTCCCCGGTGATCAGTGTTTTCTCGGGATAATGTTACTGACCGTGTTTTCCAGTTTTGTTTTCCAAGCGGTGTTTTACCGCTTGGTATTTTTTCCCTCAGTGGTATTTTTTCCTCAGTGTGTTTTTCCTGAATGCAATTTTTTTCCTGGCGATGTTCACGTCAGTGGTGTTGTGGACAAGTGTTAGCGTCAAGTCACCACCGATCCTCAGGGACCTGTCTGTCCCACCCTCGTTACGCTTACTGCTCTCTCTCTCTCTCTCTCTCTCTCTCTCTCTCTCTCTCTCTCTCTCTCTCTCTCTCTCTCTCTCTCTCTCTCTCTCTCTCTCTCTCCAAGCACCATGGGTTCCCTCTGGGCTGCCAAATGACCGTCCACTATCCTCGATTTTTCGTGTTTACATCATTATTTATTACATCCTCTCTTCCTCCCTATTCTATCGTCCCCTGCGGCTACACTCCCGTGGCTATCATTTTGTGTCCTATTATAAACAGACTTCTTCCTAACAATGTTCTAGCAATGGACAGACTCACAGGATTAACAGGTTCCTGGCTCATCCTTGAAGGATGAGGCACAAGTTTTTTTCATGATTGGTTGTGATGGCCAGACTCTGGTAGGACGACCATGGTTCCCTGGGTTGAAACAATTCTTTGGAATAATCAAGTCCACTTTGATGGCCAGAGTTTTTCGGGATGGCCATATTTATTTGACATGGCTCGAGTTCTTCGAGGTGTTTAGTTTTTTGTTAATGGGGAGGTTGGAACAGTTCTTTGGAATGGCCAGTTCTTCAGAATAGTTTGAGTTCTTCGGTATGGAATTGCATTCTCTAGAATGGTTAATTCTGTGACTTGTTAGGAAGCAAAGACGGCTGGGGAATGAGAGGAGGAGTAAGCATGTAGAGTCAGGAGATTGTGGGTGGAAAGGAAGAATCGGGGGAAGGGAAGAGCGAGGGAAAGGGAAGTGTCAGGAGACTGGGAGAGTCAGGAGAGTTGCAAGGGATGGAAGAGGGAAGACCAAACCCTGGGGGACCTGCTGATGAATTGTCTCTTCACCACCCTGGACACACTATCGTCTTTCCCTCTCCCTAAACTAACCCCCGCCCCTCCTCCTTTCCTCCCATCCTCCCTCGCACATTCTTTTGTCCTGCCCAGTTTTTTTTTTCTTCAGACCACTTTTATTATTTTTCTTACGTATTTTCTGTCTCGAATGCCTTCAGCAAAAATACAAAAAAAAAAAAAAACACTAATAGTTGTAATTTTATGTAGGTATTTATAAAATGAGAAATATTCTCCAGTTAACATGCCTGTTTTGGTTAAGCTCTAGAAGCCACTTATTTGTTCACACACCAGTTTCTTGAGATCTCCCCGAACCTTATCACTAGTCTTCTACAGTTCTTTTTCCTCTTATTAGTTTTACGTTAGTGAACAGTAACAATTAAGACTCGATCCCTTCTGTTAGGTTGTTTACATATATTACGAGCAGTAGTGGAGTTAATACTGATTCTTTTCTAGCTCTACTTATTAGTCTCCCATTCTGTCTCATCCCTTACTGTTACACTATGTCTGGTATTCAGGTACTGATCTACTGGAGAACACTGCCTTTTTAACTCTGCCTGTTTCTCGAATTTCTGGGCTAGTCTTTGACATGGTGTTATATCGAATGCTTTCTTGCAGTCCACCCAGCTTTTCCTTTCATGTTTTATCTCTGAGTCTCTCATGACTCCATCAAGGATGTAGTGACTTTGTCTTTACGTCTACAAGGTTCCCAATGGAAATACGTCACTACCTGACATTTTTGGATTATCTTGGGTGATTTACACTATGTACTTATGTGTACTTGTGCCTAAAACTTGTTTACACAAGCTTCCATTCTTAAAAACACAGAATTTGCTTGTCTCTTTCATCATCCATTTTTGTCATCAGATCTTCGTCTCTTGTTCTTCCACCTGTTTTTTACACTTCCCTTTCTGTTCTCTTACTTCATTTAGCCTATACATTATCAGAGCTCTGTGTCTTATCTTAAGCTCTTCTTGTCTCGTTAAGGTAACCATCTTCACTTATTTTCTCAGGGTTATTCGCCATTTCTTTCTCCTCCCTTTCTGACCTGTTGACTACATGTTGCTCGACCTGTGCTTTGATTTCTCGGATTCACGTCTTTCCCTGTATCTGGTTCATCTTCAGCTGACTGGTACCACTACTCGCCTCAGCACCCTAACGTCATGTTCAAGGTCATTTCACTCACTTCTTTGCATCTTTCCTGTTTGCTGTTAATTTTCTCAATCAATTTTGTTTCTTTTTCCTCTGCCTCTTCCTTAAACTTGACGAATTTATCTTCTATCATTTTCTCTTGCGTCTCCATTATCCTTCTCGCCACCTTTTCTAGCATCTTTGTCCAGGTCTTTAATACCAGTTGTGTATGCATTCATTCGTTATCCCTATGATATGTGCTGCACGAGGACATGCCCGTGCCCTTCATAGTTCCAGCTATGGTTGTGTTGTAGCTCCCGTCCCCAACCTAATTACCTATTCATTCTATGTTCTTATCAACGCTGTAGTTTGCTCTGAGGCGAACCAGTGTTGGGGTAGGATGGATGCAGGTTGAGGAGGGAGTGGGATGAGTGGGCTGGATTGCTGAGTGAGTGGGCTAGAGTATTGTGTGTTACTTGCAATAGTAAGTGTTGATTCTATAGATTTATGTAGTTACTAGTTGTTAAAGGTACTTGTTGTTAGACACTTGATCTGATTTTTTTTTGTGTGTATATACGAATAATGTGTGTGTTTGTGTGTGTTTGTGTGTGTTTGTATGTGTGTGTGTGTGTGTGTGTGTGTGTGTGTGTGTGTGTGTGTGTGTGTGTGTGTGTGTGTGTGTGTGTGTGTGTGTGTGTGTGTGTGTGTGTGTGTGTTTAATTATATATTTATTATTTTCCACACTTTTATAAAACTGTTGTTCTATTTAACTATTTCTTTTGCAAATTTTCATTATTTTCTGTGCTTATTCAATACATTTGTTTTACTGTGAATGTTACACTTGATTTTCTCTTTGTCCTCTCCTTGTCTCATTGTCTTCTTCACATTTCTTTATCCTCCCATTATTCTTGTTTCCTTGGCTCTCACAGATAACATTCAATTTTAATAATTTTCTCCTCTCTCATCCTCACCATCATCACCATATTTCCCTATTTTAAATCACCGTGTTATTATTTTAGTTTGTTTCATTGTCTTTCATAGTTGTGTCTTGCTCTTCCTCTTCCTCCTCTTCCTCCTCCTCCTTCTCCTCCTCCTCCTCCTCCTCCTCCTCCTCCTCCTCCTCCTCCTCCCTGAATTCATTTTGTCACATTCTGACTTTCTCTTTTTTTCCCCTTATTTTTCTGAACGTTCATCTACCACCTAAACACCCGAAATCCATCCTTATTTTTTTATTTCCCGTTCCATTATTGATTTTTATGCCCTTCATATCACTTCTTTTTCCTGTCCCTTGTTTTTCAGTTTCTGCCTTATTTACCTTTTCATTCCCTATTTTCTTTTGGTTTAAGATGTGCTATACAAGACCCACGAATGTGAAAATAAGACACATGGGCAATATTAGAGTACTTTACTAAATAATGCGCATGTTTTACACTTGAAATCCTTCCTCACCTCCCATTTCTACCACTACCACCACTGTTGTTGCTACCACTACCACCACTGTTGTTGCTACCACTACACCACTGTTGTTGATACTACCACCTACCACTGTTATTACTCCCACTAGCACCAGTACCAGTCCCTGTCTTGTTTTGCCCTTACAGACCATCCACTTGGTGCGTGACGACCCACAGTACGACAAGATCCCCTACACCATACCAGAAGTACGTCGCCACTGCCTCCTTCACGCTGTCTACTGCCTCCTTCATGCTGTAGACTGCCTTCTTCACGCTGTCTTCTGCCTTTTTTGCACTTCTAGTGCCTCCTTCACGTTGTCTACTGCCTCCATCACGCTGTCTACTGCCTCCTTCATGCTGTCTACTGCCTCCTTCATGCTATCTACTGCCTCTTTCACGCTGTTACTTCCTTTTTCAGGCTGCTGCTGCTGCTGTATTCACACTCGTCACTCAGCCACTTTGTGCTTGACAATGTTTTGTTTAGTAACCTTATGCTTATATGTTTAATTCTGCCAGTTTGTGCTTGGCTGTGTTTGCTTTAACCAGTTTGTGCTTAGCTATGTTTGGTTCAACCAGTTTGTGCTTAGCTATGTTTGGTTCAATCAGTTTGTGCTTGGCTGTGTTTGGTTCAACCAGTTTGTTTTAGTCTTGTTTGTTATTTATGCTGACTGTTTCTCAGTTTGTATTGCGACTTTGTTTTACCGAACACTGATATTTGTATTTTTTTCTCATTTTGTTTGAATGAATGAGTGAATCTCTCTCTCTCTCTCTCTCTCTGCATAATCCAAGATAACTCCCTGGATTACACTGTTATTGGGATACTCAACATCAGGATATAGTCGTATATGTTATGGAATGAAACAGTACGAAATAATGACACTGGAATAAAAAGGGTGACATGAATGGAGTTTAATGCTATCCAACCTCGCTGCAACATTTACAACCCATGTTTCACACTCATATAAGAGTGTTGGTACCACTAATATATATATATATATATATATATATATATATATATATATATATATATATATATATATATATATATATATATATATATATATATATATATGCAATAAGATATATATTGTCGTGCCAAATATGTAAAACTGGTCAATTAGTAAGAACTCATTTAAAATTAAGTCCTTTCTAAAAAAAATTCTTATACGTTTAAAGATATATTTTTTTCATTAAAGTTAATGTAAAAATTTATAATTTTGCACTAAAAGAATCTTAGAAACCTTACCTAACCTTATTATAGCAAGAGTTATTTATTTTAGCCTAACCCAACTAAATATATTTTAGATTTGTTTACAATAATTTAATACTAAACAAACACAGTGAAATATATTTTTTTCGTTAGGTTAAGAATGATTTTGGCGAAATTATTGCATACACAAATTTTCACTTGTCCTATATGGCAAGATGAGCGTTGCTATTTAAGCCAAAATCGCAAGTTCTGCCTATTCGGCACGACATATATATATATATATATATTTATATATATATATAATATATATATATATATTAATATATATATATTATATATATATAAAATATATATTATATATATATATATATATATATATATAGTATGAGCTGTTTGTGACTTTATAAAGCCCATTGTGGGCGAAAAGTTGTTAATAAAGGATCGCATTAAACTCCGTTTATGCTTTTTTCAGTTGTAAATGCTGATGGGAAGGACATTTGAGTACATTTGAAGACATTATAGGAAGTGTTTTGGCACGAGTGACTTCATCAGGTTAGGACTGATGAAGTGGTGGCGGAGTGTCCCCTCTACTGTTGTGAGTTGTACATGAGTGTAGTGACACACTAACAGGATGTGGCCAGTGACACACTAGCAGGATGTGGCCAGTGACACACTAGCAGGATGTGGCCAGTGACACACTAGCAGGATGTGGCCAGTGACACACTAGCAGGATGTGGCCAGTGACACACTAGCAGGATGTGGCCAGTGACACACTAGCAGGATGTGGCCATTGTCAGTCTGAGGATTCTCGTTGGATTTCAAGTAAACTTAATCTGATTTTGTGTGGGTCATCGTCGAGGCGCTGGGCGATGTATTTCATGCTTAGTGTTGTATTTGTCATGGTGCTGGTGTACTGGACTGATCGCTCGACAACAAAGTATATTAGGTGTGTGTGTGTGTGTGTGTTTGTATAAAATGCCTGTCTTCGTTATATTCTTGCTCACTAGGTCAGCTTCCCATGTTGTTCATTGTAAAGTGTTTTGTATATTATACAAAGACTTAACTGCACAGCCTCACTGAGTGCGTGCTTAACACACCACACAAACTTGCATCCTGTTACAACACAAGTAGCTCGCTCAGTGTGATGGTTCTCTCGTCCCTTTACACAGGGTAAAGCTTGGCGCTGCTGAAGGCGAGATTTCATTATTTTATTTAAAAAACGTCATATGTGCTGTAACTTGACAGGAAACCCATTCTGTATGTTGAATTATGATAGAAAAACCAGCTTGTGGAATGTATGACAGGAAAGTCATCCTGTGTGTTGAAATACGAGAGGAGAAAAACCATTTTGTGGGTGCTTCGTGTGCTAGGTAAACAGTTTACGCTACCTTTGTGAACTACCACATAGATCATTGTATCCACAACATTGCTTGTCGCACATAATTTTAATAATTAAAAACGAAACAAGCTGTTACCCACGACTCTGTGATCACATACACCCAACTAGGCACTAACTTTGATTTCTCTTGGGGGGACCTTCGCATACAAGGCACTCAATAGAGGCCACGACTCTTTCTCCTGACAGTGTGTGGCAGTGGTGGGGGAGGACGGAGAGAAGGCACAACGAAGAGTCTTGGATTGTGACACCATCACACAGGTCAAAGGGAAGATCCTGGATGCTCTCTACCGCAACACTCCACAGTCTCTGAGACCTTCCGTCCACGAGGTCGACCTAGGTCAGTATTATTATTGCTACTACTACGACTACTACTACCATTACTACTACTACGTTACTACTACTATTATTACAAGTGCCTGATCAGCAGAGATGTGATATTACACAGTATGTGAGGCACTAATCCCGTGTGGGTTAAGGTAAGAAGTGATGCAGGCTCGATTCTACGCCTGGTAATCGCCAGAGACGTAATGTACGCTGTTCTCGAAGAGTCTTGATGGCTCTTATTACTTCACAAAACATGAAGTTTGTAGAATGTAAGCCTATCCAGTGTTAAACCTTTTCTTCATGCATGTTAGTGTCGCCCTTTGTCTGGGCAGTGTTAAGATTCTTGACTGGGAAAGTTTCAGTGTTGTTAATGTTTTCGTGAGGATAAAAACACATGATATAGGTACTTATATATGGTGTAACCTGTTTGTTAACCTGCAGGTTATCTGTAGTAGCTTCCTGAGGTTACCGCCCCCGCGGCACCCTCCCAGACCAGGCATTATTGCTACTTTTGGTGTTATGTTGGTGTACACGGTACACAGACGGGGCTACGAGGTGTACACGGTACACAGACGGGGCTACGAGGTGTACACGGTACACAGACGGGGCTACGAGGTGTACACGGTACACAGACGAGGCTACAGGGTGTACGCGGTACACAGACGGGGCTACGAGGTGTACACGGTACACAGACGGGGCTACGAGGTGTACACGGTACACAGACGGGGCTACGAGGTGTACACGGTACACAGACGGGGCTACGAGGTGTACACGGTACACAGACGGGGCTACGAGGTGTACACGGTACACAGACGGGGCTACGAGGTGTACACGGTACACAGACGAGGCTACAGGGTGTACAAGGTACACAGACGGGGCTACGAGGTGTACACGGTACACAGACGGGGCTACGAGGTGTACACGGTACACAGACGGGGCTACGAGGTGTACACGGTACACAGACGGGGCTACGAGGTGTACACAATACACAGACGGGGCTACAGGGTGTACACGGTACACAGACGGGGCTACGAGGTGTACACGGTACACAGACGGGGCTACGAGGTGTACACGGTACACAGACGGGGCTACGAGGTGTACACGGTACACAGACGGGGCTACGAGGTGTACACGGTACACAGACGGGGCTACAGGGTGTACACGGTACACAGACGGGGCTACAGGGTGTACACGGTACACAGACGGGGCTACGAGGTGTACACGGTACACAGACGGGGCTACAGGGTGTACACGGTACACAGACGGGGCTACAGGTGTACACGGTACACAGACGGGGCTACGAGGTGTACACAATACACAGACGGGGCTACAGGGTGTACACGGTACACAGACGGGGCTACAGGGTGTACACGGTACACAGACGGGGCTACGAGGTGTACACGGTACACAGACGGGGCTACGAGGTGTACACGGTACACAGACGGGGCTACGAGGTGTACACGGTACGCTGCAATGAAATTAACACAACGAGAGTCATCAGTTAAGGACAGTCTGGCCAAAAATTAACACAACGAGAGTCATCAGTTAAGGACAGTCTGGCCAAAAATTAACAGTTGACTTCTGACGTCTTGTTTACTCTCTCTCGTCGACCAAAAATAGTTTTTGTTTTTATTGCATTTTTGTGTTGGGAGACAAAAGTGGCAACGTATGAGTTTTTTCCTCTCTCTTCCCTGCTGTATGACCCTTTCGGGTTTTGCGCTTAATTACTAAACATCCGGTTGAATTTGCATATCTAACACGTGATTTGGGTACATGGCGACATGTTTTGGGACACATGGTTAATAACACGTTGGTAACGAGTGCCTCTAAAAAATGCCGTGATCAAGCAGTCTGTTGTTGTTACACTATAGCTATTAAATTCATGGGTGAAGCGATAAACGCGTACGGGGTGACACAGCTCCCGGGAATAAGATGTTACCCGGTTTGACCTAGTCGACGGTGAGGAGGGGGAGGGAGTTTAAATTCCTTGCGTCAAGAACCCTTTTGGGCATCAATGCACTCCCGTCTGCCCTCCCCTTGACGTGTGCTGAGCGAAGCCTCCGCTGCTTTCCCTTCCCAGTGAGAAAGTGCAGGACCTCGTACCTTGGTCTACTGAACCTGGCACCACCGTTTACGTTTCCCATCCTCGTGACAGACGTACAGACTTCGTATCACCGCAATTTGGAGGTTCAGTACCCCAGGTCACGGTCCTAGCACCACTACTGTTCCTCGTCCTCACAGGACGCGCAAGGAGACTAACCACGGCTTCGTATCATCCTGTACAGACTGTATCAACGTATGATAATCACTTCTGTAAAAGATACAGCATTGTTCAGTGGTAACAAATTTGAACTTCTGAGGTATTGGGAAAAAGGAACGCAAAGCGAACGAAGTATTCAGAACGCAGGTTGATCATATAGAACGCTAAGAACAGGTCAGAGACTGGGAATAATTATGTCAGAAGATCTATCATTTGGAAAAGAGAGCGAAGAAAATCCAACACGGCCAGGAAAATGACAAAGTAGATTATGAAAACTTTCAAAACAAGAGAATCAAAACTAATGACTATCCCTCAGAAAATCACTGGTGCTCTCACGGTTTTCAATTGTTGTTCTGTTGTCACAGAATTTTTCAGATCATGAGAACTAGAGATGAGAAATGCAGAGAGGTCGTATACTGCTCCTACAGAAACAATAATACATCTATATTGTCGGGAACGCCCCAACACACTTAAGATTGTTCTTTCTGAAATGGAGAAGATACCTAATAATATATACATGGAAGATACCTGAGGGCCTGCTTCCTACCCTAATCACTACTCTAACTTACGGCAGAGAAACCTACGGGAGACATTGTAGAATAAACTTAGTGAATAGCAGGGAGGCTAGGGGTATAATTACAACACTCCGTCACCATCCAATGTCTGCTGGTTGAGCCCAAGGCTCAACCAGCAGATATTGAAAACATTGCTAGATCGAACCAGGAAGCTTTCTTCCTCTACAAGTGCTACATCAACTGGGTTGTGATGGCTGTGTGGGCCTGACGGCCGCTAACGGAAACAACCTTGATAAGGTCAAAGTCTTAGGCTTGGCGGGAATGCAAGGATCACAAGAGCCCACGAAATCGGCCACAAGTAAACCACAGTTATGAGTTGTTCCAGTCACGGTATTATAGGTTAATTATGATTTGTTCCATTCATGGTATTGAGAGTTAATTGTGACTTGTTCCAGTTACGGTATTGTGGATTATGATTTTTTGCAGACAAGGAATTCATATTTACACTGTATAACTCTTGTTGTTGATACTTGCAGAGTGGCGCCACGGTCGCAACGGTCACTTGATCCTTGCTGACGAAGACATGACGACGAAGGTGGAGAGCAGCGGATGGCGACGCCTCAACACACTGGCTCACTACGGTGTGAAGGACTCTGCTATCATGGCTCTGGTCCACCGACCACACGACCATCACACACTCAACAATGCCAACTGCACT